TAGCTGTCGTAGCACAGTGAAAGTAGTGGAACAGGCAAGATGGAGTTAACCAAAGCAGCCAATAACAAAAGGATCAACACGTTTTAGTAACACGAGCAAAGCAGCTGAAGGACAAGCTCCCTGCAGAGACCTGCACTCCATGCAGGGGTGGTAGGGAGAATAAAAGCTCTTGGGTTGTGATTAAAATCTTATTTCTGCCAGAAACACCTGCTTTTGCCACTCCTCACTTAATTCAATAATTTGACGGCATTATCCTTTGTACTCTCATGTACACACACACTCGGATATCTCAGGTTTCCTCTCTTGAAATCCCACTGTGACAACCCACATTCTAGTAGCACTTCAGCTGCCTTCAGGTGCTTAGGCAACAGGCAGTCCACCCTTCGGGCACAGGATTATGAAACAAGGATTCGGAGATTTGTGGGCAAGGATAGCATCGTTGCCATCTGAGTTGAAGACTGTGTAATTAATCACCAAGGCTGGGTTTTGTATTCTTCAGGGCGTGATTTACAGAATGGAAGCCTCTGATGCAGCCCTCAGAACCACCACCTGAGCCTTGGCTGCCAGTATCGCTGAGACACTGAAGTAAAACATTTGCCAGGAAGCTAATGCTGGTTTGCTGGCTGCCAGGGAACAATTCAGCATAGCAGCCCTCAGGACAGGTATCAGTTTCAGTAAGAACTGAAGGTGCAGTTTCTGTTAAAACTACAAATTTATTTATATTTTTTTTAGCTGTATTCTGTGTCTCAACATCAGTGGGCTTTCTGCACACATCAAGGATTTGAAGCACTCGCATCAACCACAGAAGACATTCACCCAAGGCACAAGGCCTCAAAATAGTTCTGACAGTTTCCAGATCTTTGATACCAGCACTAAGTCATTAGTGAGGTCACAAAAAAGTTGGCAGTGGACTATAAACCTTGCCTTGACTGTGCCAAATTATGTGTCTGCTTCTGTTGCCCCTTCCCAGGCTCCCTGTTACTCTCACCCTTGCTCTTCTTCCCTAGTGAGAACGCCTGCTGCAGTCTGTGCGGTGTGTCACACCTGGCTTTCATGATTATTAAATATACAAATGCCCCTTGCAGAATGCTCGGCGACATTCAAGAAAGCAAAAGGCAGCGGAAAGAAATCTGCACTGACAGATATGACCTACACACAAATTAGATCCCAGCAAGATGAGTAACCATGGGCTCAACTGATATTTAGATACCGTTTGCTATCTGTTAAATGGGTGGATGAACAGTATCCGTATCCCCACATGAAGCCTCTGCCTTCTGAGCTGATGCACAGGTTCTAGGCAAAGGACAGGATCTGTCTGAGCTCTGGGCCAATCCCACCAACACAGGAAGGAGTTCGCCTGTCTCTGACCATGCTTTTTCTGTTTCTGCAGGATGGATGACATCCAGCTGTGCAAAGACATTATGAACCTTAAGAAAGAGCTGCAGAGTTTGGTAGCAATCCCAGGTAATGCCCATCTCCAATCCAATATTAGGATAATGCTTGGGTGATGCATGGATAGTGGTGGGGTCGGGAACACACCTCTGCCCCTAACAATCAGCAATCTCCCCCCCAAGACTGAGTTTTGTATCTTCCCTAGAATCCTGTTTTTTTTCTTCCCACCTTTTTTTCCAATCTGTAATCTGGTCTCTAAATTTCTCTTCGTGCTGTATTTTACTGCTGCCTTGGCAGCAGCCCTGCAAGTATCACCGAAACGACGTGCACATTCCTTAGTTCCCACACTCCTTTGGCAATCTCAAGTGAACCATGTGGCACGGAGATTGTCAGGTAGAAAAGATGGAATACTGAGATACCAGAGATAAAGGGGAGAGAGGAGGGGGATTTATAACTATCACTGTGACCGTGGTTGCTCTTCTTCTAGATGCACCAATTCATTGTCACTCCTACAGTTCAAGCTGCCTTCTAGAATTAAGTGGGTTTCTACAAAAAGCAAAGGGCAAAGTCTGCTTTGTGTCTTGCCTTAATTCTCTGCAAATTCACTGCTCTAAGGACAGACAGAGCTGTGGGCAGTTTTGCAGCCCTCGACTCCAAACTCCAGCTGAAATCAATGAGGAATTTCACTTCACTACAGCTTTGCTTGTTTAGATCATCCACAACAGCCCCTACTCTGTTACAGAAAAAAAGTAGACAGATCCAACACTGAGCAACTGCAGTCGGCCACTTGCTCTAGATTTTATTGCATGTACCCTGCAGAAATAATTTGCTGTTTAACTGTTAAGGACCAGTGTTGACTCTCCTTTGGTTTATCCTCAATTTTTCCTGCCACGTTTTGTTGTGCAACTTTAAAGGACAACTTTCTCCCCAGAATCACAGAAGGGTTTGGGTTGGAAGGGACCTTAAAGACCATCTAGTTCCAACCCCCCTGCCATGGGCAGGGACACCTTCCACTAGACCAGGTTGCTCCAAGCCTCATCCAGCCTGGCCTTGGACACTTCCAGGGATCGGCATCCACAGCTTCTCTGGACAACCTGTGCCAGTGCTTCACATCTCAATCCAGGAAGAGGATAGATTGAAAGGAAGTAGGAAGTAGCTTCTGCCTTCACTAATGAGAGGAAGAGATCCCATGTTCCATAGACATAAGAGGCAAAGCAAGAAAAAGCAGTGATTTCTAAGCATTCTCCTTTTTTTTGTGCTGCAAATTCAGCATTAATCACAGGGATTCTCTGTAGGTGACAGTGTAGGTGGTCTTGAAATCTTCATAGCAGGCAATCCCCACCTTCCTTTTTCATTTCCATTTCTAAATGATAAACCACAGAAGATACATCACAGACAAAACAGCCTTATGTTATATTACAAATTATTTCCTCTGCTCCTGGCAGACCATAATTCTTCAAGGAGTATGACTTTGAGATTGAAACTTACTGAATTTCATTGCCTTGGAGCTGTATTCAAGGTGCTTTTATCTCGCTCGCTGAGGAATGGATTTGCTTTATAGCAGTAAGCGTCCTGAAGCCCTTGATCCAAAATTAAGCTGTGTTAAACAATTATTTTAAAATAGCTGATTTATTTAGCTGTTTAATATATCTTTTAAGTTCAGTCAGCAAACTCAGATGCATCAGACTGCAGGCAGCTTGCCCTTCTTCCCACAACTCTTACTGTACTTCATTTTATGGTTCTCTAAACACAGTTCTGCTGTTCAAAACCAGAATTTAATGCAAAGTGTCAAAATTTTCAGCTTCTCGAGGAAATAGGGGGGCTGGAATTTGCCTCTGGCTTTCTCATCTCTGCTCTATTTGCTAGGCTTGAAGATTTCTGTCTTAAATACATGTGTTTTATAACCTTAAAACTACAGCTCTGTAATCCCTAACACTGAGTTTTAGTTTGCGACAGGCACATCTTTCATGTCACAAAAATCGTTGTTTATAGACAACCATGTCGTTACAGACTGGCCAGTTAACCAGGACATAGATTATTTACTCAGATTTCTGAAGCACAGGGAAAATAAACCCTTTCATTTATTTTTCCACATTTTACAATCAATACTATTCTGTGGATTTGCAGATCACCTGCCTTACCAGAACAGAACAAAGTGTTGCAAGTCAACAGCCAAAGTTGTTGTGAAATACAGAGAAATGGTTCCTTCTGGTGTGGTCTTATCTCCCCTGAGGTCACAGGGAGCTTGTACCATGGATCTTCATGAAGCATCCTGGACTGTTTTCTTACTAAAGGGGGGGGGGAATCAATCAAGTGTCTTGCAGAGTAATTTAATATTAAAAGTCGCCATGGCAAGTCCCACAAACTCTCCAGACCATTAAGGTGATCAGACACAACAGCAAGTGGAAGAGAGAGAGAGGCAGTGACCAGAACTTGCTGGGGTTTTGGTGACTCCGCCCTGAAGACCCATTGACCTCGGTCAGCAATTCATTCTTGGACATCTGCAGTGTCCACACCCCTGCCCAGCTACCCTCTCTAGAATCGGAAGTAATAGTCTCTTTTCTCTGTTTTTGACCAGAAAAAGAAAAAACGAAGATGGAGAAACAAAGAGAGGATGAACTGATTCAGAAGATCCATAGACTGGTACAAAAAAGAGATTTTCTTGTTGATGATGCAGAGGTGGAGAGATTACGGTAAGAACTGAGAGCCATTTGGGAGGTTTAACATAGTACAGTGGAGTGACAAAATTTACATCAGTGTTAATGGGAGAGAATTGGTCCTTTAAAACAACTTACCAAGTTAAAAGCCTCCTCCCAGTTCCATAGGAAAAACATTAAGACTAGATTACTGCACTTCCGTGGCTCCTTATCCCATTAATGATTCACTCATCTCCTGGCTACAGCAGGGTTTGGTCTCCTGCTTGCCTACCGGAAAGGGTCTGGCATTTACCGTTAAAAAGAAGATTTTTGCTGCTACCAACAGATCCTCTTGGCATGAAGAATAGTTGTAGACATCTGCCTTTTTTTTTTTTCCTAACCTAAAGCACAAGCAAGTCCAGAGTGGTTTCACCTGAGTATCTTAGCCCAGAGTAGCCGAGAAACCTGCGGTCTTCCTCAGAAGTTCATTTCCAGCTGTTGCACAGAGATCCTAACACTCTACAGATAGTTTCGCTATTTCTTCCCGTCTCTTTCAACAGCAGAGATTCAGGGCTCATCAATCCGTTTATCCTAAATGACACTATCTCCTCCAGCACATTTAAAACCCGAGCAAGCAAAGGCCAGGAGAGAAGTCTTGCCAGAGTCCTGCAGCTGATCAAAGAAGGCTGGCCGCAGTCAGCAGCTGACAAGAAGCCTGAGCTGGCAGCATAATCCGGAGCTCCCAGCTGCTGTTTCCGTGTGCAAATCGCAAAAACCTCAGCAGCAGCCAGACAATGCAGAAGCCTGATCGTAGGCTACTGAAAATACGCAGCTGTGCACTCTGCAATGCGAATACATTAGTGTCAGCTCACATTTGCAGTGAAACCTGAGGCTTTTCTTTAAAGCTCTTGATAATAAAATCTCATTTTCCTCTAAACTGGGATACTCAGTCAGTGCCCTCGTTAATACTAAAGTAACAAAACAGCAAAGAAACTGACATGGAAATATCATTAATAGATACAATCGAGGTTAGCAACACAATCTTTTTATTTTGGGCCTAATGCTGTCATCCTCAGGCAAAGAGAAATATACCTGGGTTGGCAAACACCAGCAGCAGATGACCATGAGGTCTAGTCTTCTGTCTAAGCGGGCCTTTAAAAATAATCAGCACGGTCACAGAAATGTGTGCCCTCTGCTTTACTGTGTAGAGGAAGCATCGTGAAGTGCTTGTGAGGCCAACTTAAACCAGAGGATACATCACGGTTTAAATCACCTGCCTAGGGAGTATGATGAATCCAACAGTGTCGGACACAAGGAAGGAACCTTGGGGGAAATCCTGTCTCTGAATTCCACAAGTTGCTTGTTACTGTTTTCCTTTAGGCAAATGCTGTGCTCTTTAATAACCAGCAAAATTAAGTGCTGTTAAAAAGAACAAAGAGAATTGTTTACTAGTGATTTGATCAATCCCAGCTACTCTAGCTTTTAGTGTTTGCAGAGAAAGCAGTTATTTCTCTAACATTTATTTTCCTTTTTTCCACCAGAGAGAAAGAGGAAGACAAGGAGATGGCTGAATTCCTTCGCACCAAGTTAAAACCCTTAGACAAAGCAACACAATCTCCTACCAGTGAGTTCCTGAGGTTTAAGAAAAACAAGATCAATAGGAAAAACTCCAAGGACAATGGGATAAAAGAGCATTTTGAAAGGCCATGCTGGGCCAACCTCTGCCAAAATCTAGGTTAATCTTGCTGGCCACTTCGAAATCAGATGCCCAATTACCCCTTAAAACTGAATCCAAGTCGTAGATGACCAGGTTAAAATTGCTTTGTATGTTTTAAGTATGCAAAGTATATTTGAATACACATTGCCACAACCTGTTTTTTTTAAGTAACTAATTTGTCAGTAATTTTCCCATCTGGTTCTGCAAAAATAGCTGGAAAACACCCCTTTTAAGATACACGCTAGGATGTCTGAAGCAAAGTTTGCCCGTTTTACTCAAGGCAAGGTGGAAACTAGAGAAAAGACTGCAAACTTCCCCAGCTGCCCCAGATTTCTTCCATCTTCCCAGCATAAAGAGGCTTTTTTGTCACCTCAACCCAAATCACTTATGGGCAGACCTGCAAACACACTCATTTCTCAGAAACTAAGCGGATTACATGAAGCCTTTGAAAGTTGCAGCTAAGAGCTTCCAACTACAGCATCACAGCGTGAGCTCTAGAGTTAACAGATTGGTTCTGACCTGTCTCAGACCGAGATCTTGGGCAGGGAGGTGGTCGAGTGGTGCCCGTCTTAGAAAGCACCTCTGGTCCACCAGCTGAAGAGCTTTGTATCCGAACACGCTGCCATTTGGCACCGATCAAGATCTTGCTGAAGAGTTGCCAGAGGGATGTGGAATGACTGATGGTCAAGTACAAGGTTGACATTAAGATGCATCACTAATTATTTATGCCCTTTTAGTCCCAGGAAGCTTGACTCATCTCCCTTGTTTACTTCATGTATTGCTGTTAAATGCAATGTTAGAGACAGAAAGATTCTTTTCAGCCTGAAAAACTAAAACCTACCTTTATCTAGTCCTCCTAATTACTACGTCGAAGTTGATGACCGAATAAGTTCTAGCAATATTTTTGTTCAACTGCCTAGTTTGTTGGGGTTTGAACACAGTACAATGACTGTGTGGAAGGACCTGGTATCTGTGGCTGTGAAGAGGGACAGCTGGATTGAACAGGATGCAGGAAGTTTACCCTTCCATTGAGGTGTCTGGATTCTTTAGCTCCTCCTAACCCCCCTCCCCTGAAGAGATAAGACTCCCTGAGCAGTCTGAATCCTCATGCCAGCTTGGTGACTACCACAGCGTTAGATGCATTGTTCCAACAAGAGAAAACATTCAGGGGCTGGGGGGGCAGGAGAGGCTTGCATTCTTTAAGCCAGAAGTAATAAGAAATAGTTTAACCAGCTCTCGGTTTTAACGGTGTCCTGTTTTGAACATTGCAGGCAGCCCAGCAGAAAAGAAGGCAGAACCTCCTCCAAGCAAGCCCACCATTGCCAAAGCAGGATTGGCTATTATTAAGGATTGTTGTGGGGCCACACAGTGCAACATCATGTAGCCCTGGGCTCTCTACCGTGTTTGTCTTTTCAGATGTTTTCATGGAATGAAACTGTAGGGTGAGGGGAACTAACAGCATCTTGCGGACGGAATCGAGAGCAACAGCAGTAAGACATGGAACGCACAGTGGCAGGGTCTTCACTGTTGCATGGATCACTCAACACGCATGCCTAGAAACAAGAAATCTATATAGTGGCTGTCCAGTGACCAGAAAAGATCTGTACTAGAGCCAACACAAACACCCCAGTGGCGAAAGTGAATGAAGAGGGGGTTATTTCATCCAGTGAGGTGTTAAACAGCAATCTTCATAGGCCATCCCTTTGTAAGAATTTGTTGTGCACTTTTCCCCCTTGACAAACAGCACACAAAAATTGCTGAGATACCCCATTTTGGCGGCTTTTCCAAACAAAAGCCACAAGTAGCGATGCTGTATATAGTGCACCTGATAGATGACGCAGTTTTAGGATAACTGATGTTGCATACAAAATACCAAACTAGTGTGATGTTCAACTACTTTGCTGTGGAGTTTCACTTCCAATTCTTCCTAAAGAATAGGGATCAGTGACAAGGATGCTGCAAGTAGAGATAGGTTTTTATATCCCCTGTGATTTCTGAATCACTAAGAGTCAAACGAATCTTGCTTGCACCAGGGAAAACAAATCTCTGGTAAAGCTTCAGCAAGCACAGCTACAGCAATCTGCAAATAGGTGGTGTAGTCCAAAGCTGTGTCGTTTCTCTTCAATCTCCACCTCACAGGGGGTCAGAGAAATACTCACCCAGAGAGTTTTGTCCACCAGTAGAAGTCATACTGCAGGATGAGATCACGTATCACCGGTAGGTTGCTGGGAGGAGAGCAGAAGACAAACGAAATTTAACTGATGTTTAAACAATGCTTAAAGCAACGATCAATTGCATATTTCGTGACCACAAGGAATACAAACTATTGAGCGCAGGAGGACACTAGTCACCCAAGACAAATTGACCACAAGACAAATATGCAAAATGCAGAAGTAGGTATTTGGGGTAGGAAGATCACCTTTTACACAAAATGGGTTTAAAACATAGGAAATACAGATAGATTTATCTGGGTTTCACCATTAAATGTGTTTCTGGTCTCTATGCAGGTTAAGCCTTGTGGAATCTAATATCTTTATATTAGCTGTCAGTAGCTGGTCTGTCTGTGTGATGGTATTCCATATAAATGTACTGTGATAGGTGTAAATAGTAAAATAAATGTACATGGGTCTAATGTGAAAATACCAGGCTTACAAACAACAGATAGCAAAAAGTTCCTAAAATAAAGGTTTTCAAGAGGAACTTCTGTTTTGTGGAGCCAGCTAAGTGTGCACTTCCATACAAAGGCACCACAGTTGTAGGAAAGGAGAAGAAAACCAACAGCAGTTACCCAAAAAGGATAAACAGCAGTATTTTTTAGAGAGAGGAAGGAAGTATCTTACTAAGGTTCAAGGAGGTTGACTCCATCTAAAGTAGCTCAGAGTATTCTTGTACAAATAAAACCTAATCCCTAGCATCGGGCTGGTTCAGTGAAGAACATTTGCATTTCCAGAATCCTTTATCTCAGAATTGCAGACTCTCCTGAGACGAAGTTCCTGGAGGTTTAAGGATCAAGGAAGAAAAGACACAAAAGGTTTCCACTAAGACAACAAGCACTTTGACCAAAGAGACAGGAAAGGACAAAACCTGCCCAGAGGCTGCAGGGTGAGACATGGTTACGGCATCCTCGGTGCACGCAACATCACGTTCAGCTCTGTGGCTGTTCACACCTACCGCGTGTGGGACGGGTTGGGGTCTCCGTAGTCCTGTGTACGTTCACAGGGTTACGGGGAAGACTGCGTTGAAGGGAGGATACATGCCGGAGGGGAAGAAATACCCGCTGGGTTCCAGAAAATTCAGCCTCTTGAATTTGCTGGTACCCAAGTAAGACATGGGGAATTATCAGTACCTTAGGACAAGAGGCAGATGTCCGGTGCCATTTCCATGCGCAAATGGAAGTCAAGAAAAGACCTGTAGTGAAGCACCAAACCTGGAGCCTTTGGAGGATCAGCTGCTAGCACCACGTGTCCCGAATGCCGTGATCCCTGTGTGCTGCACAGGATCTAGAGTCCCTGGGGAAGAAAAGTGAAATCCATCAAATGTAAGTTTGTATGGAGAAGAAAAAAAAAAAACAAACACCCCAACAACAAAAACATCATTAACAGAAAACTAAGCTAGACAATCCTGGGGTGCAGCGCTTGTGACAAGGCTACAGAGTCCCCTCTGTTGATTAGCGTGGAGAGAACGCCAAGTCCGAGTAGATAATACTCACGTGCAGTTGGCACCGGTAGCCAGTGCCCCAAAGGGACCCGAAGTACAGCAGTGTCACGAGGGTGGGCTTCGCCTCCAGCAGCTCTCCTTGGCTCAGCTCGAAGGTTTCCTGTCTGTGAGGTTTTGCTTTTGTTTAGCAAATGCTTCAGGTCTCTTGGGGAGCGCTCGAGCAGCTCACCTGCAGCGCACCAGTGGTTCCCTTAGGAGGGGGTCAGCAATGCTGCTTAGCCACGAAGTCCTGGGTGTTTTGGACTGCAAGGTCAGTCTCAGCTGCATTCACTGCTGGCTTACAGCACTGGCCACCCAGCGCACAGCAGAGCCCTTGTGATTCAGATGTGACGGCTTGTCGCTAACCAAACTAACTTGGGAAGGAAGGAAGGGTGTAAGTCTTCATCTTAGAATCACAGACTGGTTTGGGTTGGAAGGGACCTTAAAGATCATCCAGTTCCAACCCCCCTGCCATGGGCAGGGACACCTTCCACTAGACCAGGTTGCTCCAAGCCTCATCCAGCCTGGCCTTGGACACTTTCAGGGATGGGGCATCCACAGCTTCTCTGGGCAACCTGTCCCAGTGCCTCCCCACCCTCTGCGGGGAGAACTTCTTCCTGATATCTAAATGTCCCCACTTTCAGTTTAAACCCATTAATCTTGTTAAAAAATCAGACCAAAGCACCAGGTGTTCCCCAGTAAAACAAGGGGCTCTGTAACTTCCAGGATCCTGTGAACACAGCACATGCCATCCCTAGAAACCAAATCAGAAGAAAATACCAGACGAGTATCTTGAGGTGGCTACGCTGAGTAAGTGGCATCATTTGAGACCTGATGTTCAGGTATCTGTTATATCTGTAAGGACGGACATCGGTTGACTGAAGCATCCGAAGCCCTCTGGGAATCCTGGCTGTTTATCACCTCAGAAAGAAGGCAGGGCACCAGGAAAAAAAGAAAATTCAAGGTGGATTTAACACACTATTTCCTGTATGAACTGGTAAACACAGATATAGTCCGGAAAGGATCTTGGTGCACTGAGAAAACCAGAAGTGCTGACGTGTTATTTGTGCTAATCGCCGATTCTACCAGCCAACAGTTGTCTCGTACCTTCCCCTCGGCCTGCTGAGTCTCTTCAGTGAGGCCACACATGGCCAAATAAACAGAGCTGCTGTGCTACACTACGCATGTGTTTTCCTGTTACTGGAGGGAGTGAGTGGTTGGGGAGTGGGATGCACTTCTGTGCTGCTGTACTTTGCAAAAAATACTAGAATTACTGTTCTGCAAGAAAGGAATAATTTGATAAATGAGTGATGCTACTGAAATAAAGGATTTTATCTCACCGAAAAGAGCAGTTTCTCCAATGACACTCCACAAAAAAAGCCAGTCTCTTTATAATGACTTAGAAACCTCACTACAGCCCAGAGCAGTGGACAGATTAGGAGGCAGTTCCCACACCTACACTCAGAAAAATAAAGGTCCCAACGTATTTGAGTATCAGAAACTGCTGAGCCCAGCACGGCCTGGTCTGCTCACCAGAGTGGTTTCACCTCAAGTGGGGTAGATCTGGAGATCTCAGGGATGAGATACAGGGAACCTGGAGGGTCAACCTGATGCTGCTTTGCTTTCGTTCCCACAGCGTTCCCCTCCTCCGGGAAGCAAACACAATGAAAGCAAAACTCCTACTAACAAAGTTTTAGTGTTGAGAGTCAGCTAAGGAGTATCTAACAGCAGTGATGACACATCATCTGAACAGAGGTGTGGAAGACAGCTTCCTCCCCCATCTCCCAAAATAAAGTAACTCAGCTCCACAGAAAGCTTTAAACATAACCCTGAAGCCAGCAGAGGAATTCCAAGTCCAAAAATCAGCAATATACCGGGGAGAGATTGCATCATCCAGACTTTCTCTGGCTAATTGTACCCTGGTGGCAAGTTACCAATGTCTTGTCAACCAAGACGGAGTTAACACTTAACAAGTACTTCCCCAAGCACACCCGCCCCCACCCTCCAAAAAGCGTCGTACTTTACCTAAAAACGATACTAAATTGCGTTTGACTGCAGGGGCTGCAAGAAGTAAGGAACTAGGGCACTCTTTCACCTTCGTGGCTGGTGACATGTCAGTTCACATGTGATTCAGGGTTTGTCACAGTCTTCCTACACAGGCCTAAGAGCATGTTTTCATCTGCAACTAAGCAGATGGTTAAAGGAGAACAGTTTTCCCAATATTCTGTTCAGCTTGATCTTGAACCACGCCACTGGGAGCCAAAACATTTACAGCAGGCTGAAACCAATTACCTCAAACCATGAGTTGGAGTTTATTCTACATGAGATATGTGCAGTGTGCATTCTACTCACACCCTCATCCCTACCACCCTCCCCCCCTCCCTGCCGCCCCTGAAGCGGTCCAAAGCTTTACTGGCATTTCAGAGGCAGCTCATGCAAAGTGAGAGTTTGACTACTGGCTCCCAAAGCAGAGACATCTCCAACTTCTTTTGCAATTAAACCTGCAGCTGAGAATGAACAGCGAGCCTGCAACTGAGGCTCACTGGTACACAGTTATCCCAGAAAATGTTTCTGGTCATGAATATTTTTCTTATTAGAAAGGAACTTGGAGGAACTGAGTTCATTTTTTTTTTTTCAATAAACATGATTTCTCTTACAGTAGAAAGACGACCACAAACCCGTTGTGCAACCACCCAGAGAATACGTATTCTGCAGCAGAGTCTTCCAAGATGTGCAAATAAACGAGGTTGCTCAGTGTGGTTTGCTC